GATTTTGGAGAAACTTTAATAAATCATTAAAAAATCCAAACTTGATCAGAATCACTGCAAACTTTCTACACAACATAAGAACATGTATATGTATCAGAAAATGTAACAAAATCAAGGAATTTTCTACTTGTCAATTTTGGTGAAATTTGACAAAAATCCCTGTACTATAGTACAGGGACTTTTGTCTGACTTTGGAGCAACTTTAAAAAATCATTAAAAATCCAAACTTGATCGGAATCAGCTCAAACTTTCTACACAACATAAGAACATGCATATGTATCAGGAAATGTAACAAAGTCAAGGAATTTTCTACTTGTCAATTTTGGTGAAATTTGACAAAAATCCCTGTACTATAGTACAGGGACTTTTGTCTGACTTTGGAGCAACTTTAAAAATTCGTAAAAAATTCAAACTTGATCGGAATCACCTCAAACTTTCTACACAACAAAAGAACATGTACATGTATTGTGGTAATTACCTCTCATTAATTAAGTAGGTATAAGGGCCGGGATTATTAATGGAAGTCATTAATAACTGATCATAATGAACTGGACCAGCCATTAACGATGAATCAACTGATAAATCTAATAAAGAATTAATAATAATTAATAGCAATTGATAATATACGTCACCATTACCTATTTCAATGAATCCACTTGATGATGTAACGTTATCAGTGTTACTATTAATAGTATCATCTTCTAATAATAGACCAATCCACCCCAGTAACAATAACTGAATATCAGCAACTAATGGAGAGAAAGAGAAAAAGAAATTGTTAATATATTAACCAATATAATATTTGTTTCATTCTACACATGTTCAATAAGACAAGGCCATACAGTACTACCTTCTCCATCATTCAGTACAGTTATTAATGATTCCAGTATACTAGTCTTTGCTGAAGTGCAGTGACTGCCAATGGAGGAGAGGAGGGGGCTCCACCCATCAATTAATGAAGAGGAGAGAACTGGGAAATCATCCGGTACTTCATCATAAGATGACACTAAAACCATAAAGAAATATTAAAAATAATGAAATACTAATAATAATAATAATCACAATATGAATCAGCTCAAACACAGCATAAGGATATTAGTCATTATGTACATGTATATTACAGCTACATATGTACATGTAATAAATGTGTAAGTTATAAAATTAGGCAAAAATGGTTCTTCATCCATTTTATTAATTATAGTTAATTAACTAG